GTGTGCGTAATTCACACCAGCTTGATCATGAGGCGTGACCTCAAGGTGGACTAGGGCGAAGCTGTGAGTCGGACTGATATTTATAGGCCATGAAAACGCTTCGGTGGTGTGGCCACTGTAATCAGATGATGCTCAAGGGTTATACTGTAACTACATCTTTAGGGAGGCCGTGCGCCTAGGCAGAAATGAACGGATGGCATAGCAAACCTCTGTAGAGTTCCCTATTGTTTGTGGGCGGGGTACGATGTGACGCCGTCGTGCAGTTACTTCGCGCCTAGCGCCGCGCGCTATCTAACAGTAAGGCGATAAGACTGCGTGCTCCTTTTGTGATTGCCAGACTAAGTTACACCGCGACGAAAACTATGTTCGGTGTACGGCTAAACCAAAAGGCCCTCACTAGAGCGCCAACTGTTCACATAGCTGTCGATCACACGCCTATGGGCGCATTTTTCAACTCTATGGTTTTCATTTGTGGAATCGGAGGTAGAAAATCTTGTTAAGATGGATTTGTCATCCATACGTAATTATTTTCCACTTCAGTCCGAAACGACGTTCGCAGAACCGCAGGATCCATTACCTGGAACCGAGGACTATTTGAACCGTCAAATCGACAAACTCTACAATGCGGGTGTCAATTGCTTTACTACGAAACGATTGGCGAAATTGTTTACAAAAGTGACAGCAGCGCTCCGAGTGAAGAAATAATTTAGCATAAATTATTTATAAATATATTAGTACTAAAAACAAGGTCATATAGGTTTAATATAGGTTAATTGATTAGCCTTACTAGTCGTACTAATAATATGATTAAATTGTATATTGTTGTTTTATTGACATATGCCGTGTTGCTAACATTGATCTCATTAAGCGATTGTATATAGGTGTCGAAAACACGATAAATTTGTTCCTTCTCTTGTTTGGATTTCGTATTTTTCAGATGTCCTTGCAGGTGAAAAGAGGACTGAATTGTGGGCAGAACGCAAATCGTGAGATTGGGACAATTTTAAAGGCACATTTCAGGAGTGGAACACCGCTAGGCGGGTTTCAGAGACCGCGATCCGTCGCGCGATTCGCGGCAAATCGCAAAAACGCAAGTGCCCAATTAAAACATTTGAAACACCGAATATGGAACAAGTAGTGTCATGGAACATCGTCACTATCAAGCAGGAATGGCAGCGGGATTAGGGAGCACCTCGCAGTACAGGTCGGGGCACCTGCGATTTCTGCAATCCGTCGTGCTATTCGCGCGAACCGCGCGACGCATCGCGGACTCTGACACCAGTCTACCGCAAAGTAGGTGTGTCTGTAACCGCAATGGTGGTACAACTTTTGCGACTGAAAAGCGAGTGGCAAGGATGCCAGAAGCTCATTATTTTGATCTC